CAAGACACTTTACTGTCACAGTGATGAGTGCCAGACCACTTGATTGGCTCGTATGCAGACTTTAAGTTACCTTTTTAGAGTACAAAAGTAGTGGTCAGAATACTTTTTACTTGGCAGATGACGTCACTGGAATGAAAGCTCACAGTTCTCACAACTATCATGCTGACAGTATTACCCAAAATGGTATATCAAGTCATGATATGAACTTGAAGGCTAGTAATGATGTTGCTCTCCAGAATTCCCTGTCCCAAAAGAGTCAGGAAACAGAAAATGACAATATACCAGAAGAAGTAAGTGTCTTGCTAAGAACTAAATAAAATAATATACATTAAGTTTTAAAGAATGTAAGAACTTATAGTAAAGATACTTGACATGTGACATTTTTTAACACCTTTTTAGCGACTTTAAAATTAGATGAGGGCTTTAATCATATTAGCGGGAATATTTAGGGTTCTTACACTGTAAAAATGCCAATATAGATCTTGTACATTATATGAAAAGCCTTCATTCTGTAGTCACTAAAAAATGTACACAAAAATGTTGTGTTTGTGGTGCTAGTGTCGTCCTTGCCTTGCCTTGCCTTGGTGCTAGTGTTCTTCCTTGTAATGTGCTATAAATTGTCAGTATTGCTAGTCCAATATTATTTGAATGAAAACGGTTTGCAGAGTACAGGACATAGCTTGTCAAATGCTCACTGTTAAGTATTTGTACCACTGTTGGGATTGCCATTTCATTATTCATTTCAAACTTCTATTCCCCAGTTATTAATCTATTATTTGAAAATCAGATATATCTAAATGTCAAATGAAAATTTGATTTTGTAAATTCTATCAACTTAGTAATTTAATAGTTTGTGCAACAATTACAGGTACTGGGACCTGGTTCAACAGCTGTCCCTATCCTCATGCGAACAGCTAAATCATCTAGTGGAGCAGTCCTTCAGGTATTTTGACTTTTTTGTTACAAGATATCTAGCATAAAATAGTTTTGTGGCATAGGCCAGGAGATAACTTATTCCTTTGTTTCTTATATAATAGTTCTATTTTCAGGTTGACAATTTTGTCGACTGTGAGGATGAGGTGAGCGATGATAATGATGATGATGGCGAAGAAGAAGACAACAGGAAGGTCCACTCTTTTCTGGAAGATGACATTCTCTCATCTAACTATTCTCCTTCAGTTCTGTCAATGTCTAACTCATCAAAGTTCCAAGAAGTGGAAAAATCTAGCACTAACAATTCTTTTAATAAGGTTGACTTAGATGATGAAAGCCTGAAAGCAGCCAAAGAATTAGAAATCTGTTATCTTTCAGGTACACTGATTTGTTGTCATTGACTGTCATTTTGTTTGTAAATATTTTAAGTCTGTTCTGTGCCCAAATCAAAAGTTGTTCAATGTATATTTGATTCTAATTTACCCCCCCCCCTTATCCCCCCTAACCCTAACCCCTCCTCCCCAGGGGGGGGGGACTCCCATCTAAAAAGGACAGTGGTGCTTGTTATGCTTTTTAGGGATTAAAAAGTGGTTTGGGAACCTCTCAGGGTGTTTAGCCTCAAAAGGTCCACAGAGGGATCTCTTCCAGTACCTTCAAGGGTATAGAGCTGGAAAGAAAAATGACTGACAGCAGATAATGTGTTGTTTTTGAATTGTTACCCCTAAGGGGAGAAAAAAAATTCAAGCCACGCACACAAAACAAGATCTTGGTACCTCTTAGGGGTTTGTTTTGAAATTTCCAATGAGCACCTATGTCTTTTTTATATGGGAGTTCCCCCTTGGGGATTTACCATGTGTTGTGTGCGCTGTAAAGTATTTTTACTGGTAGCTTGTGGGTTCTCCATGCCCAGTAATTAAAAGAGAAATGTAAGTTTGAATTTAACAACTGGATACTAATTATTATTTTTATGTATGTAGCAGATGTATCGACCCTTCCTGGGGAGGTTGATGATCATGAAACAGCTGTCAGTGAACAACAAGGTAAAGTGGACAAATGTAACTGTGTCAGTGTTCTACCAGTAAGATGTATCAAATGTTGTCAATTGTTCATTCTATATATTTTATCTAACTGGCACAAAAGAAGATTGAAGAAGTGTCCCTGATAGTATAAAACGACATGTAGTGCCCATGTAAATAATTACCAAAAGTTGTCTGCTCTGTTCCTTTGAACAGTAGGAACAACTTGTGAATGACACAAGAAGAGCAACATCTTAATTGAGTCTGATTCTACAACATCCCTTTTGCATTGTATGGAACATGAATGTATCTGACAATGAGTCATGCATGGCTACTATTTTCAAAGACAAATCCTTATATCGCAGATGGGTGTTAATAAAAGATCCTACGTCCATTTTGTTTTTCTTTCATTTCCAGATACCAGCTGTGCATGTGAAGCAGTTATAAGTCCCAACATAAGACAACTTCAGATTTCCACAAGAATCAATAACTGTGATAAAAAGAATAATGATCAAAATAATCTCATTGAGGTACTGTAAGTTATAATAATCTCTCCTTGTAAGTTTCACAGTGATTATTTTAATTTATACATTATAATTTAGCTGTAAGTTAATTGTACCCTTTACTTATTACTGTACCACAACAGTGTCCTAAAGCCCACAGATACTGACCCTGTGTTTAAGTGACGTATTAAACCTCCACGGTAATTTTACTGCTAGTTTAATCTAATGTC